TTTTTTTTAGCGATTATTATTATTTTTTTTTTCTGGTTTGATTTGGAAAATTATCTTTCCTATCATACGAAATGGTGAAAATTGTATTGCTTAATGTGATATATTATATTATTCTTTTATTTTTTTATCTTTTTTGAATTGTATTACTTTATCCAATTATAAAAGTGATCGATTTTTGATATTTGCAAAAAAACTTTTTTTTTAAACATAATGTTAGCTGGATCGGAAATTTCTTTGTTCCACAATGTTGGGTTTGATCACGTCATCGTCCACGTGTTGATCTTATTTTTTCGTTAATAGACAATAGTACGTCTCTTGTGGAAAAAACCGATTTGGAAAACTCACGAATCTTATAAAAAATGGTTACGCACCCTAAGATCCCCTCATACAACTTTTAATTATGCAAAAATGGTAAATCGACTTTCATTTCGGCCACATCTTCGATGTGGAAGAGAAAAGTATCAAACTAGCGAGCTCAAGTATATCGCCAATCATTGTCAAAATGTTAAATTTATCGAGTTTTATTGTCTCCACGGTGTTTTTGAACCAACAAACGTAGCAATGTTTCTTAAACTTCTTCCAGAATTGGTTTCATTTTCTACTGAAGATTCATGGCAACCTGCTTTGGACGCGACTTTACAATCTATAGCTGAGGGATCATGTCCAAAATTAACACACCTCGAGATTCCTGGCAATGGTGACACAGAGCGTTGTTCTTGGATCCTTCAACGTATTGGAGAGCATTGTCCTAAGATTGTAATGCTGAAAACTCGATGGGAGATCCGAAGTTCTAAATTAGCTCAGATAATTGTGAATTCTTTTCCAAATCTTGAAACATTGATTTGCCGTAATGTTAATTATGATGGTTTGAAAATTCTATTACCTGGATGTAGAAAACTTAAAAATTTCGAGTTTACTTTTGCGATAGAATTAAATGATGAAATGGCATTGTCAATTTCTCAAATCTTTCCACAGTTGGAATATTTTAGCCTAAGAATTTTTGGTCGAAATAATTTTCCACGATTCATGTTATCATGGGCTCAAATGCAGACACAACTACGTGAAATAGTTCTTTCTCTTGGTGAAGGGCTTACTGATGAATGCTTCCTTCCAATTACGTTATATTGTAATAAATTGGAATCGGTCACTCTTTGGTGGTGTAGCGGTTTCACGGATTTAGCATTTCAATCACTAGCATACAACCGAAACGCTGGCTTGAAACGTCTTCAATTCTATCATGTTAAGGATTTAACCGATGTTGGTCTGATCGCTATTGCAGATAATTGTCCAAAATTGCAAGAACTACATTTGATACACTGCGAGAGCTTAACGAAAGAATCATTGGTGAAAATTGCTAGAGGTTGCAAAAGTCTTGTTACATTTAATGCAGAATTCTGTTCGAGAAGGTACAACTGGCAAATGACGTCAGCTTTTCTTTTCACTCTGGCAAATCGTAACCGTGGCACACTTGAAGTCTTGAAATTCCACGATCGAAATACATGTATATCGGAAGTAGTAGAGTCATACGATATGAACCGATTTGATAGCTCATTATTCGATAGGTTGGCGAAACGATGTCCAAAACTTAGAATATTAGAACTACACACATATCACCAGGAAACTAATCCTAATGTAAATATATAATAATTTATTTTATATTCATTTTTAATATTATACTCATTATTTTATTTATT